TGATGGAGAAAGTATGATTACTTCATGCATATATCTCTAAAAAAAGTGTATCTTTAATCTTAGAGGACAAAAATTAGCATGTTAAAGAAGTCATAATACAAATAAATGTGCTGAAATAAAGAACTGGTATCCTACTCTTCTCACCTGGATTTGTACAAATACAAGAAAATTATTTGGAGCTTTAGCCCCCTGACTTTTTTTGTCATTGAGAAAGGAATGGATAAGAATGAATCAGTTGATTAAATGAATCATCTAATGTAACAGGGAAATAGACAAGGTAACCGATATTTAGAAGTAACAATCATAGGACAATATAGTGATACAGTATTGAAGAACGTACCTAAAAGTTGCCAAGAAAATAAATCCTAAAAATTAAATTTTCTGTAATGACAATGGTAGCAGTCATTCCACAAAGTATACAAATCAGAATCATTACACAGTGCACTGTTGTGTCTGGCAACACCACACTGAGAAACAAACGGGAGTTGTGGACCAGGCTACATAATGCAGGATGCTGCTCAAGATCAAGATTCCAGCCTCTTTACTGATAAACCAGTCATACAGCATTAGCCACATGGGGAAGCAGAAAAACGAAAGGGCGAAGCAGCAGAAACAGGGGAAGGATGGAACTGTACTTCTTATCTGTTGATAGCTTGGCATGTACTTCTCATCTGTTGATAGATCAAGCCCTGACTCCCAAGTCAGGTTTTCAATCTTACCAATAAATTGTTCCACTAATTAGCTTCTGGGTCCTTCATTATACATCAGTCAAGGACCCTCCCAGCATTCCTGGTCACACCTCTCGATGCACACCCTCCCCACAGTGATCTAGTTTTATGCTCTTAATTGATGTGAAAGGCACCTTGTAAGGTTGGGTTACTATAGTCAGGCAGTTTGGACTTGCTTTAGGAATACAGACCTGTAGGTAACAAAATGGAGGCTGGATTAGGACTAGCAAACCCACAGTACACATGAAGCCAGTGTAATATGTCAGTTATACTTTAATGAATCTTTAAAATTAATCTTACTAAAAAGCTATTTATCTCAGAGTCCTGTTATTTAGAGTTGCTGTAACTAAGGGACATTTCTACAGCATAGATAGGTGACTTATTTTTGAATGATTCTGCATTAGTCATTATTACAAGACTTTCTATATTGTTCCCTTGACATTGAGCCCTCAGTGCACCCTTCATTTTGAGCTATATCCTAATTTAAATATTAGGCTCTTAATAAATATTGAAAGAAGAAGAGGCAGGGGAGACATTGGCAAGGGTGGTTTGGTGGAGGGTGAGCAAAACAAGTGCACATAAAAGAGCAAAAATATAACAAACAAATTAAATAATAATAAAAACAGGGAAAAAATGAAGGGCAACATGAAGTCAATTCCTAAAACAATCAACTATTTCACAGTATTCTACTATTTCCCCAACCCTGTTAAGTCTTCACTTAAATTTAGAGCTTAAAGGAATAAAGTTTATTTCTGCACAGTGTTGCTGTAACATATGCACAGTTCTTTGCAAGATAGTGAATAAACCCTCTTAGTAAACTACCTAAACATCCAAAGCTAGTTGATATTTTACCAGCACTGCTTACAGGCAAGGGTTAAGCCTTGAAAAGAAGTAAGGACTATAGATGCACAAACCAAAGGCCTACTAGATACTTACTTTGATGTCATGCAATCTTTATGACCTCTTGAAAACTCAGGAAAATGTCTTAAGTATCCAAACACGCAGAAAGTAGAACTCAACTATTAATTCTATTCTGATTTTCAATAAGAAAGTAGTAATTTGATAGCACAATTTTGCACATTTATTTTGAGTTTTAAGTTTGTTTAATCTATCCCGCCCCCATCTGTTATAATATGAATGGCAGATGTAAAGTGGTAAAATGTTAGTGTGAGAATATGCAGTATGCCTAATCTAAGGAATTGATTTCTGTTAATGTTATGTGCATTGTATCTGCTTATTTAATTAAAAGCCATTAGAAGGTTTACAGATTTCCATTTGAAGAGTAATGAGGGCTAAAGAATTGGTTTTATATTTTAAGATAAGCAAAAAAAAAAAAAAACATGTTATGTACAAGAACATACTATCTTGGCAAAACTGAATTTAGTACGTACAACATTTATCATTTTATTCATCAATTTAAAGGAAAATATGTACTAATTAGAAACTATGCCCAATATATTTGTTACTAATATTGATCACCTAGTAACCAACTGACATTTTGAGTATTCTAGAGAGTTATTTTTCCCAATATCTGGCCCCTCCAAGTTATATAAAAAAGAAAAAAGCATGACTCCTAGAGGGAATAAATAGTCACTTAAAGAATATTTATTTGTTACTACTCTCCACCAGCAACTGCTGTATAATTGATATCAGCATCTCCATTCATAGTTTTATTAGGTATCCATGTGTACGTTCTTAAGCATTCATCATCTTTCTAAGAATACAGATTTTTTTATTTGTATGATTTTATTTTTTTCTCATTCTTCCCATTACTTTTTTCCTGTTTTGTTTCTATTGTGAACACTACTTCATTTCTTAGCCACTCTGGAATGTCAAAGTTCTCAGCATCTTTATTCACAATCTGTCTTGCCCTTCTGCTATAACCACACAGACCCCTGTGGCTGCAAAAGAAGTATCCACTCTGTTCTAAATGCCTGCAGCTGAAATAAGGCCTTGCTGAAAAAAACTGCCCATGCATGTTGGTTTTATAGCTGATAGCTTCTGACTCCATATGGACTATGGGGACTGCTCTGCCTTATCATGCTTATACTTAATGTGACTCAAAGACAATTTTGTAGTAATCACTACTATACTCCTTGCTTCTATGAGTTTGACAGTTTTACACTCCATATATAAATGAGATCTTACAGTATTTGTCTTTTTGTATCTGATTTATTTCACAAAGCGTAATGTCTGCTAGGCTCAAACATATTATTGCAAATGGCAGGATTTCCGTCTTTCTTGAAGCTGAATTAAATTCCACTATACACACTTATTTATGTAAGTATGTATACACACACATCGCACACCCTATTGACCCACTCATCCTTCAATAATTGCCTAGTTTTAAACTACTGTTATTAAATGAGATCCTTGGTACAGCGACTAGCCAGGATTCTAAATTATATACAACCCACCTCATAAAATAAAATCTCCAAGGCTCTGCTATTCCATATACCTTATCCCTTACCTTCAATAATTTATCAAATCTTGTTGATTCTGAAGAAAAAAAATTTCAAATTCAATTCCTCTTCTCTAAATAAACAGAATCATGTGAGCTTCCTATGTAAAAAAAGCCTTTGATTTAGTATTTTCTATAGCATATAACTGATAGTATAATCTTCCCATCAAACTTGTTTTGATATCACTCTTCTCCATCAATGATTCTGAAAGTTTCACAGTATCTATCAATATTATGCAGACTTCCTTATATTATCACATATAAATCTTTTAAATCCTACTGATTTTTTTTACTTTTTCTCAGTATACAACACATGTACCTGCCACATGTAGCAAGTCCCCTCTATTTCCAAATGATCTCAGCCTCCTCATTACTTATGCCTTTGCACACGGTTTCTCTTTGGTTGAAATAACTTTCCCTTTTCTTGGTCATGAGCAATACTTATTTAACCCTTAAATCTCTGCATAAATCTCATGTTCAATGAAAAATCTGAAATTTAACAGTAAAGAGTATTGTTCCATTATTTATGTTCATTATATAAGCTTGTTCATACTTTTACAACAGTGGTAAATCATATCTTATCTGTTTACCTACATAATTCATTTGAGATTATAAAAAGATAGAAATCATTTCTTACTCATTGTGCATTTCTTACTCATGGCATATTTTAGACAATGGTAAATATCTCTTGAATGACTAAAAGAATTGCTCAAAAATTTGTTTTAATGAATATAGGAAACCATCCTACCAGAATGAAAACATAATGGTGACAGCCTGAATCTCCTTACTATAATTCCCCTTTTTGTGCCCTCCCTGGTGGTGCAGCAGGTAAAAGCACAGCATTAAGAAGCACTTCAACATGAGTTCGATCCCTGCCCCTGAGGTGATCCATATGGCACGGCACCCTCTCCTGACCCACCCGCTGCTCCCCTCGGCAGTGTTCTTTGACTGTTCTGCCTGTTCTGCCCCCCACTTTATCTCTGATGAATACTCTCATCACCCCTGTACCTCTGGCCTTTATCCCAGTTCTATATGCATAAATAAATCTTTAAAAAAAAAAAAGAGGGGGAATCATTGCCTGACATATAGCTGAGCAATCATAAAATGCATGAGTTTTGAAGTCACTGTGCCTCATTTCAAATTCTCACTCTTCCAACCACCAAGTATATAACTTGGGGCATATCATTTACCCTGTTTTCATTTCTTCATGTAAAATGAACGAAATAATCGTCCCTATATCCTCAGGCATATGTGAAGGTAAAATGAATAAAGATATGTAATAAGTTGTAAATATGTGATGACAAAGCACTTAAAAAGGGCATGTTTTTCTAAACATTATATGAGGGCTTGTTGTTACTACAACTTTGAAAAGAAAATGGAACAAGGAAGACTGAGTGATTTGAGTGAACAGTAAAGGTGACTGTGTCTTTCCTCATTATTAGCTAATACAGAAACATTTCTAAAACTGGCTAACTGTTACATTAATTTTATCTTGGGTTTTACGTGGTATAAGCTACCTGACAGAAACCTTCTGTTTTAAGGTACAGAATATGTAAAGGTGCCCGTAAAGAAACTGGGATGCATGTGTTTGCTACATTATTTCTGAAGATGACCTATATAACCATCACTTATCCTGGAATGTTTATCTTGCTGACCAAATTTCCATAACTTTTTTTCTCCAGCTTTACAAATCAATAGATAAAGCATCTGCTAGTTGTATTCCATCTAAGCTCTCATGTCTCTGGTTTCTTGTCTCAAGACCCAATCTATTACACATTGTGGCTTTAGTCCACAGTGAGAACAGCACATACCCTGCTGTCCTGTCCTACTGCTGCAGCAGAGGCCGACTGCAAAGCTGGAGGAAGACTTGAAAGTAAAATGAAGAGAAGAGACAGTAAAAGAAAGCTGAAGGAACTACATCACAGATATAGCTCCAATACATCAGCATGCCTATATAAAAAGGAGCTGGAAGAAGATTAGAATGTCAAAGATATGCTCTACCAACTGCCTAGAGCTGAACTTGGTACTAAATATTTAAGCACAAACATCAAAACTCTAGTTTTGCATTCCCTGGAGTAAACTTACGCTTATGCTGCATTACTTTGACCACATGTATTACACATTTGCTTAAGCATCGATGTTTCTAAATATATTCTGACAGCAAGCACAGCTACAAAGGAAAAGAAAACCTATGATGTTGTGTAGTTTTTCAAAGATCTGACAGGATTCTTTAATAATTAAAAAGATGCTATACTAGCCTAATGGCAAAGTATTTCTGAAAATTGACTTACTATGCACAGAGCTAGAAGATTACACTGAAAACCGGATAATCATTAATGTGCCTTCCTGCTCCATTTTGCTTGGGTTTATCTTTGTTAAGCTTCTTATAAACTGGAAACTAACCAGATTAAAAATGTATAAGTCCTTTGCGTAAATCAAAACACTTTGTTAGAGGATGTCTCCTTTTAATAATACTAGTATTTTTACAGAAATTAGAAAACCTGAGGAAAATACAAGGACTCTAAATTCTAATTGTTACAAGTACAGTGATTATAACAGACAATTTACAATAACTGCTTGGAAATATTTTAATGAATACATATCACAACTATGAAAAAATAAATGTCTTAAATTAGAGTGATTTTTACTTTATAGAATTTTACTTTATCTTTGACTAGTGAAACGATGATATGCAAATAATATTTTAATAAGTGGAATCAACATTACCCAAAGATGCAATACTATGGTAAATATACCAGATAAGGGGGTCTCATAGTAGGACAGTCAAAAGTCATTCTTTGATCCCATTTTTGAGTATATATGGAAGAATCTGATAAGAGCTTCTCAAAGAGGTATCTGAACTTCATGTTCACTGCAACACAACTCATAATGGCCAAAATATGGAAATAAACTAAATTTTGATTGACAGATGAATAAAGAAAATATTCATACAATAAAATATGGCTAAGCATCAAAAAAAGAAAGGCTGCCATATTTGTCAAAAAAAATTGAGGACATAATGCTAAGTGAAATAATGCAGTGGCAGGGTAATACTACATGAGTTCACTTCCATGAGACATGTAAAATAACTAAATTTATAGAAGCATAAAGCAAAATGATTATTGCTGGGGCTGGGCAAAGGGAGTTGTTCAATGGGTATTAAATTTCAGATATGTAAAATGAGTATGTTCTAGCAATCTGTTGTTCAACATTGTGCTTATGAATAATACTATTTGTGCAATTAAATAATTTGTCAAGAGTGTAGATATCTTATTTAGAGTTCATAAAACAAAACAGAACAACAAAAGGACCTGAGAAAACTTTTGAAGATATGTCTGCTATCTTGTCTGTGATGATAGTTTCATGGTTGTGTGCACACATCCAACCTCATCAAATTATACACATTAAATGTATGTACTTTTTTATATCTTGATAGCCTAATACAGCTTTTCAAAAATAAATAAGCTCAAATATGTGATAAGTTTTCTGGAGGAAATTTCAGTACTGTTAAAAAAGTTTCAAGTGTATGCATGCATTATAATATAGCAATTCCACTTCTATAAAATTATTCTAAAAATGTGAAGAATAAGCTGAAAACACTTAAAAATATTTATGTACTAAGAATTTCCATAGCTGTTATGTATAATCGTGCAAATAACGATGGAAACAATTTAATTCCTGACAATGAAAAGGTTAACAGATTGAACTATATCCAGAAGTGGAAGATTATTCAGTCACTGAAATTATGTTGTAAATTTGTACTTATTTTATACAGCATAAAGAACAACTTCCAGTAATAAAAAGATATAATATGATCACAAATTTGCTGAAAATAAATATGCATATATATTCAAAGATAACATTCTAGAAAGAATGGTCTAACCTTTCACAATAAATACACATGGCTATATAAATCCGAAGCTACTTACAGCAAGTTGGCAATAATTTACTTTTACAGTTGAATACAGTAGTTACCAAACATGCCTGGTCTCAGTCTCAGTCTTCCTCATAACTTTATTCCACTTATTTCCATTCCATTTTTATCCCCCACCCCTTTTCTCTTTTTTTCCTCCCTCTAGAGTCAAAGATGTATGGATTCTCCTCCTTTCCATGACTAATTCTACTATGAAACTTGCAATGCATCCTCTACCGACTCAACTGAAAATTAAGTAATACCTTGCTAACAGGCCAAGTGTTACATTTTCTGTCTGTTTTCTGACCACTTCAAGCTGAGCTGTGTGCAACTTTATATCATAGCATTTTGTAGAGGCCTCTAGTTTCCTACTGTATTTGAACTGTTTGCATGTATCAGAGGGCAGTAATTGGAAACTATATAGGGCAGATCATGGGTTTTCATGTTTATATTACCAACATTCAAGACAGTGTCCAACACCCAATTTTTGTTCAAAGAATACTGAATAAAAGTCTACTAAAATTCTTCCTTGAAAATATAACTGAGTGACTCAAAATCCTCTAAAATTTAATCAAACACATAATTTCTTGACTTTCCAAAATCTTGTCCAATTCATTTTTTAAAAGTGGTATTTGTCCTTGTTTTTAATTGCTCTCTATTTTTATTAAGGCAATGAATGTTTACAACAACATATGGTTTAGGGATATAATTTAACACTTCTTTAGATGCGTCAACATACAATGCCTACCACCAAAATACCAATAACCCTTCACCACTGAGTACCCTCTCCCCTCTGTTAAAATGGAAAGGTACCCTGCTGAATGGTAAAAATGTCTGCATATCACACATCTAAGAAGGGACATACTATCCAAGATCTACAATGAACTCATACAGCCCAATAAGAAAACAAATAACCCCAGTCAAAAAAATGGGAAGCAAAATAGACATTTCACCAAAGACATAAATATGGTGAATGGCATATAAAAAGTGATGTTTTCTTAATATAACTGAAAATTACTAAACCTAGAACATATACTGAGTAGTTGAATAATTACTGAGTACCTACTCTGTGCCCTGGGGAAATGAAGACGTCATGGTTTAGCAAAAAAGATAAGTATTGAACAAAGACATATCAATGAAATTTTAAGAGTAGGCACAATTTGACATGGAAATACTAAGAGATGAGTACAGTGTATCTTATTGGTAGACTTAAACTTATCTCAGGAATAACAAAAAGACTAGGTTAAAGAAAGAAATGCTATTTTAGGCCCTCATTTTCACTTAATCGTTACTAGTTGCAAGGTTTCTTTACTACCTGGCAAATGTTGACAAGTTTTAGCATAATGATGGCAGAAATCTCTAGCATTATGTCATGGCTTGAATTGAAGAAATTGACCATGATTCCTTGCTCTTGAATAGGCAAGGAACAGAAAAAAGCAGCACAAAGAAGCCAAACCTTGACTACAAGACCTTTATCAACTCACACAAATTTTACTTTGCCACTCACCATTCCACCTATCACCTTTACTTTCTTACAAAATCAAAATACATACATGGAAACCCTAACACCAGCCTAATTAAGATACCAACCTCCAAGCCCCAAATAAGGCCTATGAGTCCACTCCTTCAGTAGTTAATCATTTCTTCCTGTTATTTCTGTATATTATAAAAGCCTCTCTTGTTTAATTGATCATTCTATTAAAATACTTTTGCTCTCAGTCTCTGAGTGCCTTAAAAGCTGGCAAAGTGTCATTTATATCCTTTAGTTTCAGCACGTATCTAGAAATGATTACTTCATGAATAAATTATTTAATCTTTAATTTGAAGGTACAATGATACATGAAAATACTCTGACTACTCTATATTCTGAAACTGGCTATATATATTACTGAGTGAAATAAAACTGAAAATAAAATTATATGCAATTTTACTTGCTGGCAAAAAAATCTTAACTGTGTATTATGTATCTTGGTAAATTTTAATTTTTAAATTTTTATCTTGTTATTTGAAAAGTAAAATAACATGTTCAGAGATAGTAATTACTAAATATTATGATGAATTTGGCAAATTTAGCTAAATTTTAATTAAATCTGGTGTAAACAAAATAAAACCAATTAATTTGATCTTTATAAATGAACAAACACTTCCATTTTTTTTTTTTTTTGAGTTCTTGCCACACATTAGGCTTTATCTTATCTTCATAGCAACGACTCTATAGATACTATTATTCTCATTGAGTAAAAGAGATCAAACCACTGGCCTAATGTCAAATACCAACTATTTAACTATTTAAGTATTTGTGGTAATACTAGGATTTGGATCCAGATTTAACTGACCCCAGAAACCAACCTTTAAATCACTAGTATATCTGCTCAGAAATTGTCAAAATATAACAATTGGGTAACTATAAATCCAGTGAGCTATGAAGATTTTTTCTTAAGGGCAATATTTTTTAATTAAGACAAACACCATTAAAATTCAATACATTACTTTCCTTTTGCTTATTGTTTATGTGCCAGATAAATGTACCTACAAGCTGAAGTCCTCACATAACACTGCTGATACCTTTGAAACTGTAACTTTAAGTGAAATGACACATAACATAACCAACTTCATCAGAGGAGAGTTGATAAACAAGAATTGTGTCCCAATAGCATATGTAAAGTCACAAAAATATCACCATAGATAAGGTGATATGTTTCAACACAGAAACCCAAAGGATGTCCAATATGATCCAATAACTTGTATTCATCCATTCCTTCATTTTCCAGCCAATTTATTCAGGATTGAGGGCTGCTAGAGCCTCTGCATAGCTCAGGGGCAAGGTGGGAAGTGGCCAGGGCTGCTTTCTGCTGAAAGCAGAACACCCTTTCTCCTGGAGGCACACCCACTCACACTCACACTAGGACAGTAAGCTGGCATGCACATCTTTAAGATGTGGGAAGAAAAGAATATCCATAGAAAACCTACATAGGCAGTGGCCCTGGCAAAAATCAATTTCTGTTTTCCACCAATGGACACTGAATAAAACAATGTTATTCAAAGATCTGCTGTATCCATCATAGCTAAATGAATTATGTGACTATGACAAACATTCAAATTAAACATGTACGGTAGCAAATATTTGCATACAATGGTTTATTTTTCAGAAACTTTCATTGGTATCATAAAATATGTGCCAAAAATAAATATAAATTATGGAGGAAATTTTTCTCAAAGTAGCCACTTAATATTCATTACATGTAAAAGAATAAATTAAACTAGAAAATAAAAATTGGTTAGTTATGTAGTTACCCATAAGACAAAGTCTGTCTATTAGGAAGCCCACCTTAATAGGTACAGTAAATTAACTGCTATAATTTGAGGAATACAAATAAGACACCATGCCAACATACCCAACTATTTATGCTTAGTGCAAGTAACTATTTCTGTGGAAAACTTTTGTGTGAGAAAATGTTTTCCCAACTAGTGGGCTGTCTGTTTGTTTTCTGTAATGTCTCTTTTGCTGTACAGAAACTCTTTAACTTGATGTAGTCCCATCTATTTATCCTTGCCTTCACTATTGTTGGGTGCTCTGTTTTTAAAAATGTCGCTGAAGTATATGTCATGTACTGTTTGACCGATCTTTGCTTCTAGGTATTTTATGGTTTCCGTTCTTATGTCTAGGTCTTTGATCCACTTCGAGTTGATTTTTGTGACTGGAGTGAGGCAATGATCTAGTTTCATTTTTTTGCATGTAGCTTCCCAGTTTTCTGTGGAAAACTTTAATGTCCTGCACTGCAGGAAAATAAGTTACCAAGAGATCCTAAAAGTTAAATAAACAACAAAGTTTGCACAACCACATTTTATGGCACCAAGTACAATCTTTAACAGAGAAATAAGAAAGGGTGAGGAAGAACACACTGTGAACCTTCACTGTATCAAAGTGTATGCTATGAAAAAAACAAGTAATTTGCAATATACAAGTATGTACAGCCAGACATGTTAGCTAAGAGATCAAATGACAGTATCATGACTGCATTCCTAACAGTAGGATCTAACATCACAGATACACTTTTGTATATATTATATTTTATTATAACTTTTTGTCACAATTGAGTTTTCCTCACTGGCACTTTTATTAAAGCAAACTCTATTTAGAAAAATGGCTAATTACAGGCCATTTTTGAGATAAAATAATTTTCTGGTTTCTATTTTGAACTTAGTGATGTAGTCTTAAAAACAAATAAAAGATTCCTACAACCAGTCCATGTGTGAAAATCATGTCATCTCTTCCTCATTTTCTTTTATTGTCTCACTTACCTACTCCTCTCTCTTAGTTTTATGCCTAGAACAGCCTGAACTGGCACTTTAGTGCCCTAAAACCCAACAGAAAGCTTACTTACATGGAACATTTCTTCCAAGTAAATACCCAGACTGTTTTGCCAGATGTTCACTAACAAAATCAATTACTGTACAATATTTCTGTTCAGTCTTTCTGACAGCAGAATATTGGTATACACAAGAATTTTGACAAGTCAATGGGAATGGGTTAAAAAAATTGGTCTTTAAAAAAAAAAAAAAACAATGGAAGAATGGCTAAGCTGTTGTTTTTCTTTTCTTTTTCCTACCACAGATAGATCATTATACATGATGATTAAAGAATTTTAAGTGGATATCCTTTCTCTGTGATATTCTCAATACAGTAGACCAGCCATTTGCTTCCATCTCCACCTACCTGTAGGAAATAACAATGATCAAATAAAGCATCTGCATTTAAAAAATGCATGAGATGATACCGATAATTCCTCTGCTAGAAGACAGAATTCATTAGCATCTTTTTTGGTTTTGTTCCAACAGCAATGAGAACTTAGTAAGACTTTTCCCTCTATGATTTTGTTAGTTACTGGCATTACAGATATATATGCTGAAAATGCAGATATTATGAATGTACTCTAAAATTAGCAACTAAATATGTGACAGAAACTATTCCAGTATGTACTAGAATGCAAAAGGAAATGAATCATGACATTAGAGGAGGTGAAATATTGAATAAAGAGCACTAATACAAATGAACAAACTATATACACCTAATTTCTCTTCTGTATACTAAAAATACCCTTTCTCCCCCCCCCCCCAAATCACCAAAAGCTTACTGTTGGGATGAGGGGAAGGAGTAGGGAGAAAGAAAAGGAGGGAAGAGAGTGTGGAAAGAAAAAGGGGTAGGGGAAAAGAGAAAGAGTAAATATGTTAGAATAAGATGAAATTAGCTTCATTATTTTTTTAAACCTATGGGATAAATACACATACTCCAGAGAGTCAGTAAGCATTATCAATGTTGGTGTAACAGTGGCATTCTTTTATAAGAGACCCGTATTTTAAAATTGTGATCATTTCTGGACACTCAGGGAAATCTGGGCTCCTTTTAATCTGGTCTTCTCCGAAAACTGGCTTTCATCCTTGTTTCAGGCTGGAAAAAAGCAGGGCTGTTTGCATGGCACAGCCCCAAGCCCTTTAACTCAGAGATTCGTGCCATTTAGAAGCTCAGTTTTTACCACCTCCATCTGCTGCCATAGAAGAATTAGATCCCGATTGCCTAGGCCACTGAGAAAGGATATGTGTAGAATGCTTGTGTTTTACCCTAGTCCTCTGATGACATTTGAATGGAAAGGTCATGTTCTTTTCATTCAATAGATCATGCTAAGTGAAACTATGACATGATAAAAATAGGAGAAATCCAGAATATCCTATATATATATGGACAACTTGTATAATCAAATGCCAGAGAAAACCATTCAGCCAAAATATTTAGCGGAATTTAGGAGAGTTTAGCAATTTAGCATGTGTGAACAGTGTAACATATGTAGCAGCACAACCAGCTATCAGACCAAAGACTAGAAACAACTGTTAGACTCCAGGGCATAATTTGAATATCTTCACTAATGAAGCCAGAAAATAAATCACTCTGATCTATTTTGTAACAAATATATTACAAAAAGGTTAGGTGGAAGTGATTCAACTGGTCACAATAGAAAGGACGGGTAATTACTTAATTGAAGCTCTAGACAGATAACAAAGGGAGTTCCTCAATTCAGACATACTAATGTTTACCTTACACTAAAGAATGTTCATTCCCTCACTCCAAAGTTAGTTCAAAATTCCCCAGTCATGACACAGATCCACAACTGAATATTCTGAAGCTGACCTATCATCTCCTGCGGCTGCTTTGCAGCAAGATCAGTAAGCAACTCCCAGGTGGCGTTCACAAAGCTTCTGTCCAGGTGATCCTGCATCCTGCAGTCAGTGTGGACACTGTCCCGACAGCCTCCAGTAGGCTTCCAGGTCGTGTTGACTTTCACTAAGCTTCCTAATGACAGGGAGCAGCTGGCCTTCAATTTTCTGATCAGGAAACCTGGGAGGAAAGCCCAATGAGCATGACAGGTTCCAAAATAGGTTTTGGAGCCAGACACTGTGCGAAGCACCCACAGTGCCGCCTATCAGCAGACACAGAATTTCTAGTTTCTACCCAGGCAGCAATCCACTGCTGAATCTTATTTCAGAAACCTTGCTTCAACAGAATGAACCTCATATTTTATAATTTCACAAATAAACTCAGAAACTCCTAACATTCTTTATATTTTGCTAAAAATTAGCAAAAATATAGAAAAAAAAGGTAGACTTTCTTTTTCAGTAAGATGGCCAACAGGATATTGTACTTATCTATTTATGCATACACTTAGATATATAAATATGCATATAAACAAACGCATACAATACACACACATTAATCCAAATTGACATAAATATATATTTACATTTTTTTATGTTTTAAGATCACCTTCTCGTGTGTTCACTTTTAGATATATAAATCTAGAATAAGTGTACATGGTTGTTTTAATCCACTGACACACCTGAATAAAACTGATCACATTTTTAGACATGAGGTTTCTTGATCACTCAACACATCCACACTGAATGGTCAAGTACAGTTACTCTTCGAGCACCAGATTCTTCCATGTAAAGTTGATGACTGACTATATATTTTATATAGTATCTAGAAATAGTTTCAGCTATTTCACAACTTCAGCATTTGTGCAAACTAATTAAACAAGAAACACCACAAGCATTCCCCATGCTATAAATTTTCCTATAGGAAATACCTACAAATCCACAAAGGAAACATGGCTGTTAGATTTGTTCCATTACCCATCAGAATAAATAAAATAAAGTATCTTTTGATGTATTAGAGAAGGTTAGAAGCAACAGATTTTTTACATTAATCACTGCTTGCATGTTAAAAATAAGGTTTCAGACTGAAAATTATTCGTTGAGAAACTTTAATAAGAAGAAAGCAATTTTAATGAGCAATGAGTGAATTTAAGTAAAATAATTATACATGAGAACATTATTTATCTCACATTCTTTCCACTTTCTCCCCACTTTTTCCAGTTGAGTAGCCATTAGCAGCACTGAGAGGAATCAACTCAGTAAGTGACCACTGCTGTCTGATAATACTGGTTCCTCCTCTTCCTCTTGTCCTTGGGCCATTCTCACACAATAAGCTCTGTTCAATGTGATTTACATGCTTAACATCCTTGTCATCATAAGCTCCTAATGGACATGACTACGAGGATCCTCATCTTTCAGATAAACTACATCTAAAAGAATTATAACCACAGGGAAAAAAGGACATACTCCTGGCACTCATACCCGTATCTGCAGCCTTCTTTACTACTCACTATAAAATTTTATCTCTTCGCAAATTCCATGATCTCCTATGTATAAAATCTTGATGACCACTCCCTATGAATGAACACGCTGATGGTAATAATAAAACTACAAGTGTAGGGTCTTCACCCAACCTGTTGAAGAATCTGACTAGCCATGGAAGGCCTAAGCAAAGGCAGGCTTAACCATCACTAACAATTGCATGTGCAGTCTCATTCTCCAGTCATCCACTATAGAATCAAAAGCAGATTTGTATACACAATCTCTACTGGAAATCCCTTATTTATCCTATGAAAAATGACTCTATGGAGAGATGACATTTTCTTCCTTGTTGAGTTTAGTATTGTTTTTTTCTTAGATCAGTCAGGAATTTTAGTAGCCAATAAATCTCATCTTTAATGAGTATTCTATTGTAAGCTTCCATACAGTTTCTCCCTCATGTTCTCAACAAATCTAAAAGGAAAAGCTTTTAATATCTCATGATGAAAGATATGGAAATTGAATCAAAGATATGAAGCAAGAGTAGAACTGCTGTTCTAACCCAACAGGGCGGACTCCAGGGCCAGCTCTCTTCACCTCTATTAGTGAAACACACTTGGTGAACAATTAAATTCAAGGTCAATTTAAGATGTCTCATATGGGTACCCTTCTTATTGTTTCTATGAGCACAAAAAACTAATCTGAGCCTTCAGGAAGGGATTCTATATGTATGAGAATAAAGACCAAACTAATCAACTACAAGTTCAAACTATTTTCTCCAGAATCTACATCTTTGACAGTACAAGGGTTTTGTGGTGCCTTTCAGTGACCTGTGGAAAATCACCACCTTCTGTAAAGATAGGACTTCAGCACTGGCTATTCTCCACCACCATGCCACTCAACTGTCACAGAGTTCCAATACAGGAACTAAAGTTCTTCCCATAAAAACAATGAGATAGGATTTCCAAGGAGAGTATAATTTTGTCTTTTGAACGATATCCCAAAGTTAATATTTTTATATTTTAAATAAGTAGCCTGATCTGTGTTATACATGATATCTCTATTACTATAAAATTAGTTATGATTTCCAGATACTCATATTTTAGATAGCTACAGTATATGTACTTATACATATGTATATAAATTCTATACACATTGTTGATTCAAGCATGAGCGAATAATATTTGTGAATTTTTTAAGAAAGTATAATTTTAAGATTCCTTTTCATTGTGATCTCCAATATATTAGTTGGAAACTTTCATGTTACTCTTGTCATCTATAAAACAGAGATAATAAAAGTAATCTTAAAAGAACATCCACATCTAACATCCTTATGTTAGAGAATGTTTGCTGACTAGTAGTCTTGAAAGATAAAGAACACTCAAATCTGCTAAGTTCTGGTTTCTATTTTGCAAATTAGTTGTCCTAACTTTATCTTCTCTTAGAAGCAATCCTAAACTTATCTCAGGTGCTCTCTAAGAAAAAGCTACTTCAAAAAAAACTACTTCAGTTAATCATTTATCTACTAGAATTAGGTTCCTCTCACAAAAGCCTATTTTTAATTATGTTTGTAAACATGAGTATGAAAAGCCCATTAATTTGAGAAAAAATAAAACAACAGTGGTTGCTAATGGACTCCTACTCATTCTGAATATTAGAAGAATTTAACCACAAAAAACAAGCATCTGAAGGACTGATTACATTCTCTTATCTGGGTAAGTGCTCTCTTAAGCACTGAAAATAAAGTATTTCTTACAGGAAACAATCTCAACATACCTAGTCAATTGATATTAGAAGACTTCATAGAATAAAGAATGAGGAGCTGGTGTCACATTATAACATGACAGCAAGATTTTGAGGATGAATATTCAAAATATTTCATATGTAAGGAGTTAAATCCATGGATAGCATGTACTTCACAGAGTAGATTAGCTCATTTAATTTCATTTACCTACTTGTGTTTACTCTTCCTTTGCAAGAAAGTTGCTAGAAGTCATCTTGAAGTTATTGAAAATGATGTTGTCTAGGGTCCAAGGAAATTTTATTAGAATCCCACTACCCAGGTAAAGTGAATATAATCAAATATGCTGTGTTTGATAGAAGAAAGGAAAAATGGTGGGTGATGTCTAGGGGTAGATATCTGTAAAGAAAAAAGCCTGGAACTAGGTTTGATATGGTATCCTTGTGCTAGCTGACACCTAGAAGATGGGTATGTACGTGACCTGACAAGAAGTAACGCTGAATACTGTCATTACAATAGCAAAAGTACAGTCCAGCTTAGCCCTAGGAAACCAAAATCATACTCTAATCCTTCATAGAAAATCCTCGACAAACAACAGGTAATCAACAGCAATAGATGGCTATAATAAAGACCATAATGAAACATCTGTCAGCACCATCTAATAGCAAAAAACAATGTTGGGCTCTCCCTGGTGGTACAATGGGTTAAAGCACAGCACTATGAATTGATCCACAGTCACTGCAGCACGAGTTCAATTCCTGGCCAGGGAGGTGACCCACAAGGTACAGAAGACCTCTCCTGTCCTGCCTGATGCTCCTCTCAGCAATGTAATTCCATCAACTTGCCTGTTCTGCTCCCCACTCTGTCTCTGATGAATCCTCTTACACTCCTGCACCTCTGGCCTGTGCCCAGTTCTTGTATACATAAATAAATAAATCTTAAAAAAAAAAAAGCAATACTGCAGACTGATGGGACTAAATTTATTTGAATTTAAGCAGATCTGTCCTTTTCTACTTTCTACTGCATCATCAGAGTTCTTAAATACCACTAAAGGAGATGATACCATATTTGCATAGGTTAAGTTAATATAGTAGGTGGAGACTCATAATTTTTCCAAACCTGCACAAAATTTCACCATATTTTTATGCCATATTTGTGGGGGGAAATCAATCAAATGCCGAATGAGGCTTAGTCTTAATTTTCTATACAGCGTATACAGAGTTATAATATCTGTATCTGTCAATGTCTAACAATTTTTAAATCTAAGGAGTCATCACATTAGTTTATAAAGGATATCTTAATTCATGTATAGTTATTGTAATAAAAATTATAGAATGTTCAAACCATTACTTACAACTTGAACCTTCAAGAATTTGAGTAAATCAATAGAAAATGCAAAGGCTATATGGAGACTTCTGTTTAGAAAGTTCTGACCTTCCTTTACAGGAGATAAAGAACCAAGAGCACGTATAATCATGGAATATCCATGAACACCTACTCTAACCACAAAGTCCTTGTCTTGAGCTAAAGTTTTCCTATTTTCTCATTTGATATATTAGTCTAAAAGCTGCTGTGGAGCAGATGGGTGTTTAACTTTGTATACTTTTTCTTTAGCCTTTTATCAAAAATCACACACCAATTTGGTAAACTTTTGCTACAGAAATGGTCATTAGTAGATTCACATAGCAATAGGTCTTGAGTTCATATCATATTCAAAGTTTCCAGTACAATAACCAAGACAAGCAGTGTTCCTAATCTAGTAGAGGCACTCTAATGAGCAAGTAAATACATGAGCTGTAGGATCAACTAAAACAATTAAGAAGAAAACCAACAGGATACTATGAATCATGGAGTGAATGTGGGAACACTGTGAAAAAATGTCGTCAAAGCCAATAACCAAATAGCATGCAAAGAGTAGAGCCACTAATACTCTAGGCAGAAAGGTCAGTGCAAAAGCCACATAATGAGAAAGTACTTTGTTCAAAAACCTTAAAGAGAGATTATCTACATGGCTAGAACAGAATGAGAGAAAGAGTGGCAGGAGCCACATCTGGTGGTCCACCTTAGAATTCAGTACTGTGAATGCACTGAAAAGTCCCTGAAAGGTTTTAGGAAGGCCAGTGATAAATATGGATGCACTGTTCAGAAGAACACTGTCATACCCTTGAATAGTGTCACCAATCTGGACTAGTAATATAATACCTGATAATGGATATAAAAAAATCTATAAAATGGCAAGTGCTGGCCCTCCATGGAGACACAATCGATTAAGTCACAGCACAATAAGCTACCATAGCCACTGTGGCATGTGTTCGATCCCCAGCCAGGGAGCTGACCCACATGGCTGACCCACCTGCTGCTCCCCTCAGCAGTGTACTTCATCAGTCTGCCTGTTCTGCTCCCCACTCTGTCTCGGGTGAACCCTCTCAACACCCTCCACAGCTCTGGCCTATACCTCAGTTTTGTATACACAAATAAATAAATATTTTTTTAAAAAATGGCAAGTGCTAGAAAAAAGTTAAGGAACTTTATGCAACAATATTCTGGGTTTTTTTTTTTTCCCTCCAAAAGCAAGGTGAAAAACATTGCATCAGTTCATAGTGACATAAAAACATATTGAAATTGCAAAAGAGACCAGGATAAGAATTATGAATGTCACATTGCTTTTCATTTTTAACACCAAACACTTTTACCAGGGATAATTAGAAAGTAACAAGTACATGCAAGGTGTTACTTACTTGTTATGTGAAAATACTGCAGTTTGCACACATTTCACATTTCAGAGATAGCAAAAACTAAGAGAGTCTGATCTTCACTGAGATAGCATGATGTACAACCTCTACACTGAGCCTAGCAATGCAGTTTAACCAAGTAGCTGGCAAGAGTTTCAAAGGAGGAAATCTAATTTTATTTTGGAGGGACTCATTTTCTTTTATTATAGAAACAAAATCAAAATGGCACAAATCACAGAAAGTATGGACACAACATTAATGCCTGAAAGTCTGTATGGTTAAAACAATACCAATACCCACATTACTAGTCATATACCTATCTATTAATGTGAGTTAACTGAAATTATTAGCATAAAATCAAGCTTCAGCAATAGTCATTAAAACACAAGATATACATGGAAAATGGAATGCGAAGGCAAAAAAAAAAATGTGTTGTGTGTTGTATAAATGACATACTTGTTTGATTGGCATTATGATAGTTACAGCCAGCAAATATGTTATAAGATACTTTTGAGTCTAAAAATGCTG